ACACACACACACACACACACACACACACACACACACACACACACACAGGTTAGAAACCGAGGAGGTCAAAGAGACTTGTACACACACACACAGATGCTCCACTATGCAGATGTGTGCGCTTCGCAAACACACACTTTCCCTGTGACACCCCAACTCAACTTGCTCACACACACATCTGTCGTCCGCAGGGGCGCAGGGTGACGTACAGGCTGAGTCCCCCCTGTGTATCCTCCCTCTTCGCTCTCCCTCCCTCTCACCCAGATGCACACAGAATACTGAATGTGGATCTATTACGGAGGCCTCGTGTCTCTGAAGACACGCGCGCACGCAAAACAGAACATTTTCTTTTAGTTATTTATACGAAGCCGACAGACGGACAGACAGACAGACAGACAGACACGGACGCCATTTTGTCTCAATCTGCAGAGAATTGTAAGTGAAATTATTCTGAGTCATCAGCTTCAATTATGCCGATCCAAAATGGACGCCCACAAAATACACACTGATAAATAAAATGAACAAATAAGTCATCAAAATGCACATCACACACATTCTGTCCTTCAGGGCCTTGATGCTGTGATGGAAGCAAAATTAAAAGAAATAACTTTTTTTGGTTGTTTTTTTCTTCGAATGTTTTTGACCTGTTTGACCTTAAGATAACCTTGGTTCTGTCCTTTAAACGTGGCTTAACTAATCCAGTCTAACATGTTGTTATCAAGTTAAAATGATCCTTTTTTCACAGTCATTGGTAGGGTTTGATCCTGGTTTATTTAGTCTGATCAAAATGAAAAACGGTAATATTATTAATAAATCTCTGGTTGGAGTCCAGCCGCGGCCATTGTTCCTGTGCTGTAGTTAAACACCAGCTCTATAGATATTTATCCAATAGAAGTGGCCGTTATCATGATGATCACAGCAGCTCTGACCTGTAGTGATGCAGTAATACGTCTCGTGCGGAGACACGTGGTGGATGCGGTGATGCTTCCGTGGCAACACCAGATGCCAGTCCTGGAGCAGCGTGACCCAGCGCGGGAGGCCGAAGTAGGAGTGGCTCCACTTATGAATCTGATTGGTCAGAGTCACGAAGACCGCCAGGGCGAAGACGTAGCAGTCCCAAGGATAGGACGCCGCCACGGCCTCTGAAAGGGGACAGGAGACAGCCGGACATTTACACACAGAGGAAGAAAAGAGAGTGAAGTTAATAGAATAATTGATCGAACTGTTTAGTGAAATGAAGACATGAAGGCGTAGTACTCCCACAGAGAGGATGCTGGAGGGAGCCTGGGAGAGATGGAGAGACCGAGGAGGAGGAGGAGCAACGGGGATCAGTGGCCGAGGAGAGGACAAAGACGTAGGATGAGGACAAGAGGGTAAAATAGTCCGAGATGTAAAATAACAGTGACTGTCAAGATGTCTTCCAGAATCAGAGAGGCCGAATGGAGATCAGTCGTCTGATATCAATGTACTTGACTGTTTTTTTTTAATCACAGTGCTATCGCCTCAGCACCGCAGGTATCAAGAGGAGGATTTAAGGCAGTTAGTCTGGGGCGAGACACTTCAGCCCCGCTATGCCTTGAGTGCCATCACAAAAATAAATCAGTCTCCACACTCTGTCTGTTCTTTATCGAGCAAGTAAAAGTCCCACTGATGTTCAAATGGAACTATGAATCATAACCCCCCCCCCCTCACCTTTTAATATTTAAACAACTTCTGCAATCCCGCTCTCCCGCTCTAAAGGAGCTACACATCATCCCTACAGAGGCGCCCTGGGACTGGACAGAATGTGTGCCGTGGTGTTATGTGATATTTAGATGAAGGTGTAGTTGGAGTTCAGATGGAGGCCGGGGAATAGACAGACAGTCACGCTGAAAAAACATTTGGAGTGAATCTCTTGATGTGAAGAATTTTATAAAAAAAAAAAAAAAAAAAGGAAACCTGGTCCAGGACTTTACACAATTGTTGACAACTGGATTCAAATGTGTAAACAAGCTGAAGGAAAGGTAGATTAATGTCATTGGGCAAAGGGGAGGGACTAACGGAGAATCTTTAATTCAATGTTAACGGTTTGACAGGGAATGAGAGGAATGAGATTTTGTGAACAAAAGAAGAAAATTAATGTTTTTGTTCTAAATGTTCGTGTAAAAGGCCATGAATTCTGAAATAGTGACCGTGCCTATTTAATAGGGCTGGACAATATATCAGTAATATTTATATCAATATCGTGATATGACACGAGATATCTTAGATAGGATGAAAGTCTTGACTATATTAACTCTTGTTATATTGTAATATAGCCCATTTTGTTCACCTCTTCTTAATTTTACACGACTTGTTCTCCCAATTTCTTTCACTACTTTCTCTGTTACAAACTATTAAACCCAGTCTTAGGTTTTGGATATAATGCTATCATAATAAGGCATAAGTGTTGTCTTTTCATGGTTTTAAAGGCTACATCACAGTGATGTGATACCAGACTGTTCTAGCTGTCCTTTTATCTGACTTTACCCATTTAGTCATTATACCCACATTAATGAAGATCATTTACCAAAACTCTGTGTGTGAATATTTTGAAAAAGCACCAATGGTCAACCCTGAAATATCGTCGCCGTGTTTATATCGAGGTATTTGGCCAAAAATATTGTGATACCTGATTTTCTCTACTTTTGATGACTCATTACATTTGTTGCTGCGTGTGTGACGTACTACTGTCTGCAACTTGTCTTGTTTTTTTACTATGCGTTTGTGGTACAGTACTTAAAATGGTTACATTTCTGCTTCATAGTGTACGTGGTAGTTTACAGATAAAATGAATAAATATTTCAGATAGGAACATCCCTGTTTTATGATCTGCTTCCAGTCACATTTCCAGCAGTTCAAGAGCCGTAATCCCTTTCCTTGTTTATGAAGGCTTTCACTGAGAACAAATCAGCAGCAGAAGAAACACATGAATATTATTTAAACACAGACTTTATTTATTTAGTTTGTCCAGTGGAACATATCTACACACTAAAATAAACTGTAAATCTGAACAAGGAGGACATGTTTTTATTTTGCTGACATATGCATATTATTTAGAGTGGTGGAATGTAACCAAACATTTGAAGTACTTGTACGTTATTGATTATTTCAATTTCATGCTACTTTATACTTTTATTCCACTACATTTCACTGGAAATCTTTGTACATTTCACTCCAGTACGTTTAATTAAGATTTTCCAAACCAAACATACGAGGACTTATGAAATATGATGCACTGTTATAGATTAAACAACCCAAAATGATGATATTTTTCTTTTCAAACGTTGCAAAAATGTAACTAAGAGCATCTTCGTCAGCTGGGCTTTAGTATATAATTACATTTCATAAAAGCAGAATTAGCCCCAAAGCTATAGAAAGAGTACTTGAAGTAGCGACTGCTTTCAGGGAAGTCAATGTTCGTATTCCGTGTTGATGTGAGCTGACAGGTGACAAACATGTCAGGACTCATACAAAGGAGTGGCCGAGTGCAACAATATTCAAAACACTATGCATGAAAACAGCCTGAAACGCAGCTACAGTTGCTGTTTGAAGAGAATTTGGATTCAGAAGTCTCCAGCTCTTCTGTCACGCGGCTAACTCTTGTTATTCACTCGAGTCCTTCTGTCGCTATGACTTACAGCTGTCCTCTCTCTGTCCGCCTCCATCCCTCCTTCCCTCTCTTTGGTTTAAACAGCGATCTCTTGACCCCAGCTGAAGTGCAGACATGACAGCTGGAGATGTCGCCTCGCGGCTTTCAGCTTTTCGCCGTCCACCTCCGTCTCTTGTCTTTGTCTGGTGACCGCTTGACACAGCGAGGAGCTTGACATGACAGGTGTAGATGTCATCTCACCGCTACATGACCCTCCGTCACCCCAACCCCCCCCACCCCACGCTCTCTCGCTTCCCTCTCTTCTCCTTGCACTCTCACCCTCTGTCTTAAACTCTTAGCGGTGACCTCTTAAGGCCTTGGACATGACAAGTGTGGATGTCACCTCGTCGCTCCCCGTCTCCGTCTCGTGACCTCTTCACCACCCGCTGCGTGTGACATGACAGGTGTGGATGTCACCTGCAGGTGAACCTCACTACTGCTCTCTCCCCTCTAATCTTCTCTCCCTCACCTCACCCCCCAAAGTCTCCCCTTTTGTCCTATTCTGTCCCTTCCTTGATGTGTAAAAATCCCTTTCACTCTTTCCGTTTCTATCAGAATTCCCTCACGTCATTGAACATCTCTTCTACGACTTCTCTACAGAGTGCTGCCCAAGTACAGCAGGACATTCTTGTTGGAAGGCATCACTGCAAACCAAATGTCTGGAAGACATGCGATAAACGGGTTTGATGGAACAGGTGAGCAAAACTATGACACAAAACATGTCAAATTATAAGAGATAACTCTTTCTCTAGTCTAGTATTTAAAGTGGGAAGATGGTGGCCTATTTGCATTGATTTATTCACAACAGCTGACAAAGCACATGAAGGATTGCTGGTGAACAGCTCAGCCCCATTAGACCTCAGCTAACCGATGTCAACTCCCCTCGTCTCCACCCATCAGTGACCTTTCTGCTCAAGTTGAAGTGCGGACATGACGGGTGGAGATGTCCCCTCCTCAATAACAGGTTGCTCCGTTTCTCCTGCTGATCCTCCTCTTCCAGTCCCGCCCCTCCCGCCCTGCACTCGTAAGGTCAGCGCACATGATTACCCGCAAAACTGCCCCAATGCTTTCCCACATCCAGTGGACACACATCCTGCAACACTAAGTCACTGCTACGCTTTGTTAGACACTGTAAAGCCGACCTTCTAAAGTCCTTACAGTCACATGACAGCTTTATGCAGTGTGGCTGCAGGTACGCTAGCAGTGTTTTATGGGAGAAGAAGCCGGTGAGGGATCTCATCCATGCTGCTGCACTTGCGATTCCCACTGCTTTGTAGCAGATAAGGTGAGACCTTGATGGAGAGCTTGAACCCCTGCAGGTGTTACAACCCCCAAGCTTCTAACTCGCAGGTGACAGCAGCGTGAATGAGAAAATGTTTCACACAGGATACACAAAAAGCACATATATGCGATGAACTAGTTCTGTGCTACGCAGCCAGTAGGGCAGAGTGTTGTGTGCGTATGCTACCTGGTGTGTATGTGAGGAACTTGTAGGCCATGTGAGCCAGCGGCAGGACGGGGATCATACAGTTGTCGCCATTGGTTTCAATGAAGTCGTGGCGCGTGATGGCGGTTGGATCAATGTGGTGCTCCCTGAATGGACGAATAAATGCCTGCAGAAGGAGAGAGAGAGAGAGATTATTGCTGAACATTAAGAAAATAACACTTTCTGTAATTCCCTCCGGCGTCTCAAGCAGCCTTAATGCGATCGATTTAAATTTAGAGGGATCCTCATTCACCGAGGATGAGCTCATTTTTCGAGCCACAGCAGTTCGAATTGAGTTTGCTGAAATGTCGCTCCTGCATTCAATAATAACGTGTTAATTGTTAATTCAATGAATCTATTGTTTCTCTATGCAGTCTAAAGGCTGGAAAACAAAACACAGAGCTGTATTAATACTGAAACAACACCTCATCTTCTCTTTTATTTTGAACTCATTCTACACCAGAAAAGGCATCTTATACTTTTAGAAATTCTATTGAAATCAACCGAGAAGGAATTTAAACTTTAAGGCCAATCCTTTAAATGAATAGCAAGCAGAACATTCTGCCCAGATTCTGACTTCCTGTCCTCTCAATTAAAAACACATGAACGTCCAGTTTTCTCTGACTCGAAGTGATGAGATGTATCAACTTAATTTACATTCACTTTAAATCAGAAGACAAAACAAACACTGGAAAACATTATCTACAGTCTTTAAGCGAATGCAGATCAAATGCACACGCACGCACGCACGCACGCACGCACGCATGCACACACACTCGACACAAACGACTCAGCGGTGCCCAGCAGCCTCCACAACCCCAAAGCTCATATCCAGCATCCTAATAAACCGTAGAACAGCAGTCAGCCCGCGCAAAAACACCCATACACATAAATGACCCATGGACGCCACACAAAATGTGAGCTTCAAACACACACCAACACGCCTCGCAAACCCCACCTGCCCTGCGCAGCGGCAGACACCTGTCTGTGAGAGCATGGGGGTCTCAAATGAAAGACTGAATCTGAATCTCAGAAGCACAAAAGAGGACAAAAAGAGACACACGCACCCACACACACACATACAGGATAAAGGTAATTTATTTCCCTCTGTGGTACAAGGCAAAAAAAGGTAGGTTTGCATCTGTATTTCCACAGTGTGCATGTGTGTCTGCGTGTAGCCGCGGAAGCATCAGCATGAGAACTCATTATTGTCGTGTTAGCTGTTCGAGCCAATCACACGCGCCTATCAGCGAGGAATCGTCGGTAGGTGTGACTGCAAACACAGAAACTATCTGTTGGTATCTTCACAATTATGTACCCATCTCTGTTCTCATCTGCCTCTCCCCCACCTGTCCTCTCCACCCCCCCCCTCCTCTTGCCGCAGCCCTCAGCCAGATGAAAGCCCGGCTAAGCCACGGAGGTCGTGCAGAGCAGGGCGGCATCAGCGCTCCCAGTTAACGGCAGGCCACCGGTCGCTGCGTGTGCTCTAATCCCACACCGTTTAACGGCCCGCCTCGCACGACGTCCGTTAATCACCAGCTCACATCGCCCATCGCCGCGGCAACCAGCACTGTCCCACTGGTTGGACGGACACGCCCTTCCACCCCCTTTTTTTTTGTGTTCTTCTGACCTTTTTAGTGTGTTTTCATCTCTCTTTTTGTTGGTTTCTTTTTTTAACACATATTTCCATCTATGCTTTTTTTTCCTCCTGGTTTTTTAATAGGGGACTGATTTAAATCATTCAATTACATCTACTTCAATGCTCTCATCCTCATTAGAGAGTAGCATCACAGAGGACATGTTTGTTAGAGATGTATCAAAAAGGACATAAGGAGGAAGGTAGTGCTGCTTTTAAAACACTGCAGAAGAGACACAGATAGAAAGGGAGGATCTTCAAACCTGTATCCCTCAACTGTAAGCACATCTGGCAAATTTCCCCGTGAATCGAGCATCATTGGGAGCTAATGAGCGTGACTTTGTCCTCAAAGTGGTGTCATTAGAGGACTGCTAAATCCTTGTTGAGTCAATTAAAGCTCAACGACATGACGACGACAAATAAAACACAGCGCGTCCCAAAGCTTCGTGAAGGAACAGTTCTAAACACCACTGGGAGAACGTAGGGCACTTTTTAAGAAAGTGCTGCAGTTTCAGCACCGGGGAGGGAAAAAGGCTTTTATGGATTTAAATCAAAGCCAATCATTGTTGTACAGTTCTGGATGAAGAGCGTTAGCATTGTGCAGTGTGGGAGAGCTTTACGTACAGGATAACTTGGAGGTAGAGCAACGTCACCTTCCAATTAAGGGATGTTGATGTTGGTCACAAAAATGGCATTTTGTGAATATTGTGCTTTTCACTAATAACTATTATAATAAAAATAACTGTTTTTTTCCCTTTTACACACCAGAGTAGTTTAAAGAGACAGAAATCCTATAATTTTAGAGAATGATAGATGATAGAAGAAGAAAAACAATACTTGCAAATATTTTGATAATTGATAGTTTTAGTTATTTGTCGAGCAAAATGCCAAACATTCTCTGGCGATTCACACAGCAAGCTGTACGAGTGCTAGTCATTCACTTTTCAAACCACCCCCATCGATACAGTAACCTGTGTGAGTACTAGTCACTCACTTCATACTAGGCTAGCTCACGGAGCAGAAGGCTAAACTATTAGCAACATTTTCTCTGCATCTCTGAATATGAAAAAGTGAATCAGTGCATGTTTCGGTTAACTACCTTCGTACAAATATATTCAGGAGGTATTTAGACATTTGTCCCCATGAGCGTTTTGTTTGGTTCTGCAATTCTTTTTATTTTCATTTCATGTTTCCGTCTAAACTCTTCTATGTGCCAATGCTCGGGACAAATGGAACAGATTAAATGTCCCTTCTGTGACCTTGTTGGCAAAAGCTTCCCCCGGATCCTGGAGACCGTACTGGCCATACAGTATACTGGGCCGATGACTTTGACGGATAGAAAATGCAGTTTCCAGTGGCAGCTGTTACTGCTCTGTGGCCTCCACTGCTGGAAATATTATTTATGATACTGTGACAGCCGACTCTTATGACTGTTAGGTATCCCCTTATGGTGAAGTTATGGAGGGCAGGAGTCTATATGTGCAGACGAGGTGGGTTGTGTCTGCAGTAATGGCTCTACATGTCGTCTGTAGTACAATCTGAGCAACTTCTTCAAAGAGGTCTCAACAAATAGGGAATAGGGAACAGAGAGAGAACAGACGCATGTATACACAATGTACATACATCCACAGTAAACAATGAAACGACAGAACAAACAAGTAACAAAGAGCGACACTGCCATCAATTGTGTCTTCTATGTTTGTAGCTGCAACCACTGTTAGCCTCAGGTGTTCTCCATCATGCTCCTCTTTGATATTCAAACTAACCTTAACTGGGGAGCGCACGCCTGCTTTATTCTCAGTCTCAAAATACACACGCACGCAAAGACACACTCGCACACATATTTTATTTTCCACCAGCCTATTGCCGTCCCTCTGTTCTCCGCAAAGGTCCATTCTTCTCTTCCAGTTAAAGTCTTTATTAGAAGTCTCCTACGGTGTCCGACACACCATGCAAATCTGTGGCTGCCGCAGTGCCTTTGGTCCCAGTAACTACCCCAAACCGCAATGAATGCCACACAACAAATAAACATCAAAACCACCGAGTACCTCCAGTAAACAAAAAAACAGTAAAACTGGGATTGGAAAATCATTGTTTAGAGTTCTACTAAGGGTTCAATGCGTGTAAAATAAAATGTGTTGTTATCTAGGGAACAAAATCTGGCAACAAAACAAGCAAAATACATAAGATTTAGAGTTGATTATAGATATGATGACAGGATTAACAGCTTGGCATGAAATATCACCGTAAAGCTCCATCAAAATCAAGTCAAAAAGAATGAAATCATTTGAATTGATCAGAATTTGTCATTCAAGGGTCGTGTTTGCGGTGAAAGAATAAAAACAATGGGTGTTAGATTATGCTCCAGATACATACATATACAGTCTATTAATATTACTGAAGGATGGACTCGTGGAAATGAGGTTCATCACTGACTGCAGTATTTATGAATGTGTCGAACCTTCTTTTACAAATTTATAAACAAATCTGTGGTATTCTTTCATTTATAAGATCATGCTTCAGCCGCTTCCGTCACATTTTCCACCAGTGTCAAATTACAGCAGAGCACTCGTCAGGACTGGGTTGCACCAGCTGCTCATAAATCCATTATTACGTTTCTTTGTAGTCTTTTCTAAGTTCTTAGAAAACTACAAGTGATCTATTTAAGTGGGTTGCACCATAAAAAAACATAGTAAATGTCTGAGCAAATAAAGACTTAAATATTAGTAAAGGGTAAATGGGTTGTAGCACAGACAGCCAAAAGCAATCAACTCAAACAGGAAGTCCCTGTAGCATCACAAACTAATACATATCCTACAAAATCGCAATTTTGTAACGTTTTGCGATTTGAGGTTCGTTGTGCCATTTTTGTAAAATATGAAATAATATAAATGTCAGTAGTATGCGGTTCATGCAACAGATCGCATCCATTTTAATGAAACAGTGAATAATGTTAACACATGGCTTCAGCATAAATGATGACTGTTGTTATAATTAGGACGCTTCAGCTCTCAAGACACACGCTCAAACTTTTACACTGATTAATCATCAATGTTTTAGTCCGGGGGGCAGACACACTCGCCACATTTAAGAGTAGGCTTAAGACTTACCTTTTTGATAGTGCTTATAATTAGGGCTGGCTCTGGCTTGCCTTGGACCAGCCCTTAGACAAACTGGTATAGGCAAAAACTACAGGGGGACTTCCTTAGGATACACTGAGCACCTCTCTCCTCCTCTTCTTCACCTCTGTCTGTATGCATTGATGTCCCATTAATGCTCATTACTAACTTTACTTCTTCCCCGGAGTATTTGTGCTTTCTCACCTTACAGGTTCCCATGACCACAGTTTTATCTGGACACTGGTCCTTCAACCATCCATGGCCCTGCTGACACCTACTACGATCTTCATTATTAACATTGTTACCGATACCATTAATGCACAGTACTGATTTTGTCTCTTCCCCGGAGTCCTTGTGCTTTCTCTCCTCACAGGTTTCCATGGAGCATGGTTTCATCTGGACCCTGGTCCCCCCTCCTACCATGGCCCTGCTGACTCCAACTGCTAATATCACTTTTATTATTACTCGCATTACTATTTCATATTACCCATACCATTAATGCACATTATTGACCTGCTTCTTTACCAGAGTCTCTGTTCTTTCTCGCCTCACAGGTTCCTGTGTATCCGGGTTATACCTGGACCAGGTCTTGCCTCCTGCCATGGTTCTGTCATACATTGAATGTGCTGTAATTACATTGAATGTCTTGTAATTCACTATCCTGTTCTACACATGACATCTATTGCACTTCTGTCCATCCTGGGAGAGGGATCCCTCCTCTATTGCTCTCCCACATGTCTCATCCTCTTTTCTCCCCGTTCAAGGGGTTTTTTGGGGGAGTTTTTCCTGTTCCGATGGGAGGGTCCTGGGACAAGAGGATGTCAAATATGTACATATTGTAAAGCCTTCTGAGGCAAATTTGTAATTTGTGATTTTGGGCTATACAAAAATAAATTGAATTGAATTGAATTGAATGAATATTTCATAAATGTAAGAAATACAAGTTGAAATACGCACACGGTGAACTCGCATACCATCAATCAAGACAGAGTTCACATGAACCAATCTGCGAGCTGCACCTGATCACACTGATTTTAATTGGCTGAAATGAGGATGACCTTTACTTTAATTGGCTGTGGGAAAAGGGCCAAAACGTGTGTGTGTGTGTGTGCATTAACGTAGGCGATGTGTTCTAATGTGAGAATTAGGTGTACATGCATCCATCTTCATACACGCCTATACACACATACTATGCGTGCAATTTGCATGACACATGGTTTATAAGACTAAAAATGTATTGAAAAGCTTTCATTTAGGCAGCAAAATAAGTAGTTGTTGCACAACATGCAATTACTGCAGCTGAATTCATTGGCTGTAATTGACCAGGATGTATTTGTCGAAATAAAACCGACCCAAGGAGGACGAATGGAAATGTAGCAACAAACACAACAGCAATTGTTACACTGGCCCAAAATGTGAACCTCGTTTCTAGGGCTGTTATCAACGTGCCAGTTCAGCTGTGGCGTAATATTAATGATTTCAGGGGAAAGAGAGGAACATGAGGCTTTACTTTGTACAGTAGATCATTGATGGCAAATGACTAGAAGCTGTTTAATGCAGCCTGGACAGTCAGGCTGAGTGTATGTGTGTGTGTGTATATATATATATATATATATATATATATATGTGTGTGCTCACCTTTCCAAAAACAGGGATGTCCACAGATCCCCAGGTATCCGCCCCCCAGTGTACCATCCCTGATGCAAAGTCTGCTGTCACTATTCCTAGGACTGGCGCACGACCACAGAAAGAGACACATGAAGAGAGGAATAACATATGTTGTTATTAGATATGCAAGCAAACACCAAAACACAATTTCACAAACGTGTTACAAAAGAATCACGTGGACTGGAACAATGATTTGGGACTGTACTGGCTATCTAGAAAGAAATATTTTCAACATGTTTAAAACTAAAGAAAATACCTCTGTAAATAAATGTGAAGCGGTAACAGTGGTCGTTTTAAAGCGCTATCTTTACAGTATTTTTTGGGCTGCCAGCTCACCGATGCCGGGGATGATCTTGTAGACATGAGCGGTGGAGAAGTGCAGGAGGAGGAAGGACAAGTTGATGATGAAGAGGAAGAGGCACAGAATCACACACACCCACTCCTGGAGCCGCTTACCTGACCAAGGGCAACACAAAGAACAAGAAAAACACATTCATTTATTTTACATGCATACAACTTCCCAACTAGAAAGCATTTTATGTATCTCAGCATCATTTCACTTATTTCATTGTTGGGTGTTGTGCTTTGATTATGGAGGAGAGGAGGCTGAAGCGGAGCGTGGAGACGCTAAGAAGGTGAGGGTGTTCGGCTCAGCTGTATCGTATTCATGAACTGGTTGAGGTCCCAGCAGCCACTGGGAGAACAACTCACTCCTTACCGAGGGTCAAAGGACCATTCGCCCAACAGTGACTGTGTGTGTGTGTGTGTGTGTGTCCAGGGTGTTAATATGTAATCAGTCAGATGAAGACAAGTGTACTCCAGGCTGCGGGGTCACGACCTCTCATATGTGAAACACCAACGCTGACGCAGCACCAAGCCCACATGGACACACACACACACACACACACACACACACACACACACACACTCGGGCTGTTTCAGGTGGGAGGTTGGCCTCTGCAGAGACAAGGCCAAACTCAAAGGTCAGCAGTATTAACTAAAGGACAGAGGACGTGGGAGCAGAACTACTCGTACTCTAAACTCGCAGATCAGCAATATTATGAGAGAGAGAAGGGAGGGTCAAACTGACAATCCTTCAGCCACACTACCCCGAAGATTAGACACGCTGAATTATTGAACACACACACACACACACACACACACACACACACACACACACACACACACACCATTCCTCTAACATGGCAGAGCACCATATCCTACTGCAAGGTGTTTTACTTTCCCTGTATTTACTTTCCTTACCTGCAGGAAGTTGAACAGAATATCTCACCCACTTGCAGAAACGAACTATAGAAAGTAAAAATACAAAACTACCGCTGTTCTATTTCTAAGTCGCTTCCTTTTGTTCTTTGTCTCCCATCACCCCCTTTGTCCTAATCGTTCTTTCTTTGCCAGTCAAATGTGCTTTTAAAACTTTAATGTCTTCAGATCCTGACGTATCGCACAGCATTAGCAGCCTATAAGATATTCATGACAGGGTTTTTTTTTTAATAAAGCACACAGGCCTGTGAGTGTGTGTGCCTATAGACCTGTGCGACTATGAATATGCTATCAGCCCCTCATAAGGTAAGGATTGAAGTGGTCATGGGAGATTTAAAATATGGGATTATGGATATTTTAAGGATCATCAAATGTGACCCTTCACCCTCTAAAAATAGATGGTATCAAAGTGAAGAGGCAGATGGCTCATTCAAGTGTGGACCGAAGTTCAGCTCCTCGATGAGTTTGACTTTCGTAAAGCTCCGTTGTCTCAGCTCTTCATTGTAGTCGGACGTGGAACGTGTTTTTAGGAAGCGATTCTGACTCACAACACAACAGACTATATGGAAACACTGACGACATCGTATGTGGAGGAGGGAACCCATGTAATGAGCAGTATCTCTGCTCCTCAGACAGAGTAACAAGATAGGAGCTTTGGTTAGTACTGCAGAGTCTGAGCAGTTTATCGTCTGTAGAGATGCTGCGAGGAGGCGCCCTAAGACAAAATAATACATTGATTTATTGTTCATTACCTTAATGCCAAAGTTCCCAACCGTATCCCAGGGCATATTAAACCAATTCATTTAATGAGGACCCTGCTCGTACAGCCAGCGATATGCTGCGTCATTTTATGGCCAAAAGAGGCTTTGAGGCAAATTCAAAAGTCAACTTCTGACTAAGGCAATTAGACGTTTGACTGTGGCACACTGAAAGAGCAAGTTAGTAGGCAGCACTCCTGGAAAATGACCTCACTTTGAGCTGCGGCGACTCAAAAAGGAGAACTTCATTTCCAAAGACACCTGACAATGAAACACGTCAGTTATTCGTCATTAGTTTGAAGCTCCAGTCAGAGAAATGCAAGTCACACAAAGGGCTTTTCTCACATTTGTCCACTGAAATGACTTAATGCGTTCACGTCACGTAGTCCAGCTATTGTGTTTTTAGTCCAAACAGCCTGAAGTCCGTATTGAGGTTAAGTGGAGCGCAATTGGCTCTGTTGTCTCCGAGCTTCATGTGACACCATTTTCAACACTCTGTCCCAAGTCACGTGCACGCACAACCACACACACACACACACACACACACACACACACACACACACACACA